AGTTGTCTTGTTCTTTCTTATATAACCAAGAAAAGGTGGCATGAGAAGCAATAAAAGTTAGGCCCTCTTGCCATGCGATTTGCGAAAGAAATCTCTTCATTAACATTTGTCACCCAAATATTGGTAACAGATCTCTAAGATCTATTGATGAAGAAGAAGGCAGACAAGAGGAATCAAGTTGTGAATTTCTCCCAATTAGACAAAGAATTAGTGGCCTCACCAACCTCGTCCATGTTGCTTTCTTTATGTCCACTTTCTAAAATTTAAGAAACTAAACAAAAATTATGCCATCCCTAATCACAAGGTTAAGGGAAGTTTACCTCAAGGAATTTGTGTCCAACACATCAAATAATTTAAATTCACATGTCCGTGTCCGTACAAAACCTAGTCATCCTTTTCCTTCTCTCGTTGTGATTCCACCCAACCTCCTTTTTTGTTTTTTTTGTTTTTTTTTTTCAGCTCTCTCTCCCCTCAACAGTTAAGAGTCAATGGTTAAAGGTGAGAGTTCTATTCTCTCTTGTAAGGGTTTTCTCTTCTCTTGTTAGAGGTTTTTTTCTCTTTTTTTGAGAGTTTCTATCTTAGTTTTCTTGATACTTTTTATGGAGATTTGCTCTTGTTGGAGTAAAGATAGAATTTGAATGCAATATTAATTGGACTTAAATCATTTGTTGTATTTACATCAATTGTTGCATGTTTGGGGACAAGATCCATAGCTAAATTTTTATTGCTTCAAGCAATTTATCTTATATTTAGATTAGATGGATTATACTATAATATAGTTTAATTGCTATATCTTGAACTTGATTCTAATTACAATTTTCATGTAAACATTAAATTATTTGATTTTGTATTTTCTCATATTTTATTAATGTTATACATGCTCAACGTATTACTCCATTCAGATTGATCGTGTAACTCTTATGATTTTTATATATCAATAAAATCATATTTCTCATAAAAGAATATTTAAATTTATGCTAACAAGAATTCTTAAATTACTTTTACTTCACTCTTTCTAACACTTGATTACACCTCCACATTAACATAAATTGCAATTGTATATGTGAGTTTGGAACTGAAACAAAATTAAGGGGTATCTCCTTTTTTTTTTTTTCTTTATTTTATTTTATTTTATAAGTTCAGGATTTATATACCTTGAGACTATTTTTTTTTTAAATAATTTTAAAGATGCACTTTTTACGTTGATTTAATGTATTTAAAAAAATTAATTTTTTTTATATTGATCTTAAAACTTACATCTTGAACCTGACTTATAAAATAACATTTATTTACCAATAAATTTAATTTATTGGAGTTAAATTAAGCTGTATATATCTAAAACATGAAGACCGAGCAAGTTATGATTGCCGAAGGATCCAATCAGAAGAATATTAGGGGAAAGAATAATATAAATTATCATGGTTTAGTGGATGATAATGGTTGTGAAGAAAAGGAAGATTGTGGGTATCAAAACTAAAAAGGGCACATATCCACTACTTGGTAATTTTTATTAAGAAAATAACTGATATATCATTCGGTTTAACATATTTATCAATATTTATTGATTCAGTTATTAAATTTTATAGTCAAAATTTTTTTTACTTTAAATTTAAGTTTAAAAATAATAATTTTTTAATAAATATATTATAAAATACATTAAATTAAAAAATATATCAATCATTATTCTTTTTATTAAGAACGTTCCTTGGCTGAGAAAACTGCTCAGATAGTGGAAGTGAGTGGGAGGTTTTCCCCTCAACAAGAGTTGCTTCATTTGGTGATGGAACATTGAAGTCTCATTATTTAGTTCTCAAGAGGAAAATTCCATCTCCTAATGACGAGCTAATTTCTTGATGTTTGTTAATGACATTATATATTTTATATTGGAGGTGGAGGAATGTGTGAACGTATCTGTGAAGATGGAATGATGATAAATTATATAATAAAAAAAAAAGATAAATTATACAATAAAAATAAGAGAAAATTGTTCACGTCCCAAAATTGTCCCAATCACTGACCACTGGTACATGGTTTGGATCATGTTTAGTGGACTTTAGTCCATTTACTCAGAACTCACAACAAACATTATTGGGGAGGACTCCAAAGCATCTGTGCTTCATGGATAACAGCCCTTAAATTATGTTCAAAGGCAGAGCGCAACTGCGCAAGGGCCAAGACTACCTTGTTTGGATCACAAGTTCAATTCTTCTTCCAGGTGAACATTTTTGGGGACAAATTCCCAGTTATCTTGGGCCATTTCAAAGCACATATTGGGCTTTGCTAATCTATCAAGTATCAACTTCTAACCTTGGACACTGCCAAAACAAACTCTCTTTCTTTTTCTTTTTCTTTTTCTTTTTTTTTTTTTTTAAGTTGAAAAAAGATTTAAATTTCTAATTTCATTGGTGTAAATGTATAATAGAATATATATAAGAAATTTGGTCATTTTACTGAACGAATGAGCTAAGCAAGATTTTGCATTTCGTGAGGCTCAAATGACATGATCAAACTGCATGTGCAAGTAGTAACATGTCAAAAACACAAACATGATTGATCATCATGGATCATCCCCTTAACAAGCAACGTGAAGAGACCAGAGATCAGCTCATGTATGTGGTTCCAGCAACATCATGATGATACCCATGATGATGCATCATGGATTGGAAATATAATGCTTTAAACCATGCCTTACAAGAAAAGAGTGGGTCAATCCCATTTTTCACCCTCTTATAAATCATGTGTTAAGGCCTAATATAAGGATTGGAGGGATATCTTTCTCCATGGCAATGTCTCTTTGAGAAACCACTTTTTCAAGATTTTATTTTCTATAGCTTCATTTAGCTAGGAAAGCATCTGGCATTTGGCCATGCCCCTCAGACAAAATCATTGCTACACATCAATGTTCTACGCTTAAAAGGCCTTTTCCTATCTCCCTTTTCTCACCGTTTCAAGACCCTTTCGTATTTAAAAAATTGTTCCCCACACAAATAGAGGAGAGGAATGAAGCATTTCACATTTTTACTTAGCACATTATACTAATGTTGCCCACTGGTTCTGATTTGATGATTTAAAAGCTTTAAACTTCTGCCACTCTTCTTCATGATTCTATTCTCTTCTTTTTATGTGAGACTAAGTGGAATCACTTTACTATTGTTCCATCTTTTTAAAATTTGATTCTTTGATGCTATTCTAATTCTCAAAAGGAAATGCAAATTTATAAATTTCTTTGATCCTAGATAATTTGTTCCTTTACTTTATGCTTTGGGTTGCTTGTCGCCAAGATTGAGGAAGAAAAAAGGGAGGAGTTTTATGACTACAATTTCCATCTTTGCTATTAATGGAAGAGGTTTAAAGGTCTAAAAATTTGGTAAAATTCCATAGGGATAAAGTAAGCATTGTCTAAAGAATAAAAAATTTTATTTTTTTCTAGAAGGAGAATTTGGGTTATCTTCTAAGTGGTATGCGATAATTATGTCAAAAGTTTGTGAAGGTTCCTTTTAAGACTTAGGAATAATGTTGAAGAGGCTGACCAAAATCAAGTTGAAGTCAATAGATTACAACTCTGTCATCATTACAAGCTTCTTCTATATTCCTTTGGGAGCCAACAGCCCACTCAATGCGGATTGTGGTGTGCTGAGTTTGAAAACCTTTGCATTCTTCTTTCACATTCAACGTGACAGATTGGTTTTTGATGCTTTTAGGAATTTTGCCTTCAAAAGCTCAGCTTTGATTCTTTGTGGAGTTCATATGAAACGGGTCTTTGCCAAGTAGTCTCTGCAGCAAATATTGCAATGAAACTGATAAAAGGTCTTTGGTCAACTGACTTCCAAAACGACCAAAACCACCGAGGGGAATTGCTATGGATTTACTTGTCATCAATTTATTGGTCAAGATTAAGTAGAAGTCGTAATTTCAGAACACATTTTTTAATTTTAACATAAATAATTTATTTCTTACTAAATTATAAATTTAGTCCGATCCATATATAAACTGACCTATAGTATCACTCGGCCAGAAGACAAAAAAAAAAAAAAATGATGGGTGTTTTATGGGTTGTTATATACCGACAAATTGGCCAGTAAATATCATACCAAAGATCACAACACCATGAAAGCATGAACACAAAGGGAAACCATATTGAAGTGACACTTCATTTCATTCAGCTCAATTTTGTTCTAGAGTCAATGCAACCAAACAGCTTTTGAAATGTCAAAAAGGAGACCTTTGGCTTTTTTCTACCTCTCAAAGTGCCAATCTATCCAACATATGTTCATTGTAGACCATCAATTTAATTTCCTTTTCATATGCCTCAAAGCCCCATTTCATTTCCAACTTGGGGACACTATGATGATTGTGCATTGGTAGAAATCCAACTAATTACAAGACTCTTCAAACTTAGAAAAATGGATAAAAAAATGTATAACTTGACTAAGTAGAAACTATATATGATGTGTTTGTGTAAATCATCATTATGTTTGGAAAAATATTTTATATAGTTTATGTCCTTCTTTTGGGCGTTTTTTGCATTAATTTTCAGCTTTTCTTGCTCTGAAGATTATGAAAAGGGAGACACTGAATTCGGCACAAAGATTGCATCACATGGATTAATTGTTAATCTCTTAATTCTCCAATCGGAGGACTAGATTATATATTCACATGCTCTGATCTAACTTCAGTTAAAGTTGTGGTTTTCATAGCTTCAAAAGGTTTTACAATTTATATTGTAGTAAGTATTTACGGAAAATTCTCCACTCTACAGTATTTTATGTCATTTGGTGCTTTTCTGGAGGGGAAACAAAAAAGTGACTTCTTAATTCTTTCAATTAATGCGGTGTATTTTAAGCCACCAAAAGGACCGCATTGGGAGATATTGCCATTCGCAATCAATTGTGCAAATACACTAGAATGGTTCATGAAAATGCACTAGGGAACACTAGGGACTTAATTACGGCAATTACAAAAGAAATTAAGATGATAGACACGAAAAAATGTTAATCAACTGAATAATTTGTAAAAAAATTAAATAAAAAACTATTTTAGAACTATATCATTTCAACAGAAATTAAAATAACTTATGGTTGAGGGAGGGATAAAGTACTTATGGAGTGTGAAGCATCTTTCACTTGGCTCTCTTATGCTTGGTAATGAGCCAATTGGCTTTTCAAAGAGGGGCCTTGGTAGTATCATAAATGTTCTAATTGTTCTATTTTACTATATTTGAGTTTTAGAAGGGAATTTCATGGGATTTAGAGGGAATCAGAAGATAAAAGAATTGCTAGAAAATTAAGGGAAGAAAAAAGAAAGAAAAGAAAAGAACTGCTAGGGAAGTGGCAGGCATTATTGCCACAGCCCTAAAAAGAGAACTGGTGGAATACTGGAAAAGGGCAAATCCAGCCTTGGTGCCTGCACAATAATCCCTCTAATTTAATATTGAACCCCAGTTAAATAATCTGCTCTATCTATTCAAGTTCAAAGATTAAACTCAATTTAATATTAAAATCTAAAAATTAATCAATAATTATGGAATATCCCTCTTGACTGAATGCCGAGGGGTGAGGGGTGAGGTATAGCCACCACTAATTTTGTTGAGGCTACTAATTTTATTTGTAATTTTATTAAGTTATAGTTTTTTCTTTAAATAATTAGTTATGATATTTGGATATCTATTAATAAATTTATTTTAATTTATTAAATAATATATATTAATTATTTTATTAGTTATTAGTTATTTTTAACAATTAAATTAAAATAAAATTTTGACAATTTTAATAGTCTTA